AGACCACAGTTGTTTTCCCTTGGATTTAGCTCATGAGAGTTTTGGCCCCTTTTAGAGAGTAGAACTCTTCTGCCCTTTTTGTCTTTACTTCTGTTCTTAGAGGAAAGGCCTCTTTACCTTCCTGACCACCAGGGTGTCCACACACGTGGAAACTGGTCAACATGTGTATGGCCTAGCGAAAGAAAAACGTACTTTCTATTCACTTATCTGCGGACAACCAAAGGCCATAAAGTTGGTATGTTATTTTTTTGTTCTAATTCTGTAAACCTCTTCGTTTCTTTGGGACAATATGGACAATCATTTGTTTTGGGACATATGTGAATCTTTTGAATTTATGTACATAAGTTGTTTGCCATATTAAATTTTTTTGTTTGTTACACTCTCGTATTTCGTCTTTTTATATTCGTATTCAGTGTTAGTGTATCAATGGCTACACTAATGCTAATATTAGTATCGGTGTTCTACTGGAAGGCTAATACACGTTATTCTTCCTAACACAGAATAGTCAGTAAACTCTGTGTGGCAGATGCCACCATACTAATAGGACCAAGAAATACTAATTTCTCTGAGGCTAACACTCTATGATGTTACAAGACTATAAAGACATTACTGACAGGAAGTAGTAAACTAGTGTGTCCACCTAGGATGTGCAATTCCTTCCATTCAAAATTATGTCACTTGTTCGCAGCTGATGACTTCTCCCCTGAGGGGCTCTTGTATCAGCTTACTGATGGCTGGTGACTGGAGACTGCTTTGTAAAGCTGCTTCATCAGATTCTGGCGAGGTTTATCCATCTGAAAACTGAGTCAATGAGCACATATCATTGGGTTAAGAATAACTTGTTCGGCACAGTGAAATAAATGAAGAAAACAGAGATTGAGGATACATGCTGGTTGTGTCCAGACAATGGCTCCCAGCATATATCGATTTAGCCGAACCTCTAAATAACCAAGCTGGTGGTTAAGTCAAGCTTAAATAATGTTAATCTGACACAAAAGAAAGATAGTAATCTCAAGTCTGGGTAAAGGATTTGGTATGAGTGTTGGGCCGGCAACTCCATCCTGTGAAAATAACAAAAAAATGACCTGCTACACAAACTGCAGATACAGCTCAGTGGTCCACAAGCAGAATTGAATGATGATGACGAGTTATTTGATAACACTAACAAAATTTTGATTTGTTTTTTGTCTTTGCTTAGCATGAAACAGACTGTCGCCTCTAAGTGTTGACTTCAGTGTTCACTTATATATTTCTTAATTACGGCTGTCTAGAAAGCAAAGGAAATTACTGTTATTTCCTTCAAACTTTGCTTTTGTTCCACAGCAAACAGAGTTCAGTATGGGGAGAAACAACAACAAATGGGAGATACTGTGGGGACCCCCACCAGAAAGTATTGTTTCTTCCACTTGGGCCTTAAGAAACAATTTGTCACAGTTCTAGATAAGGAGTCTGCAACCTTCAAGACTTCTTCCCTAAGCTGTCTGCAGCAAAAGCCAAAGCCGGTGTCTTCGTCGGACAACAAATAAAAAAGATCATAGAGTGCAGGGACTTCCCCAAGAAGTTCACTAGAATGGAGAAAGCAGCATGGAACAATTTTGTCGCAGTAGTTCAGGGCTTCCTGGGGAATCACCAGGCTGAAAACTATATAGAACTTTTTGAGACCCTGGTGAAGAACTCTGGCAAAATGGGTTACAGGATGTTGCTCAAAGTTCATATCCTTGACACTCATCTTAATAAATCTGAGGATAATGTGAGCACATACTAAGAGGAGCAGGGTAGGAGCTTCCGCCAGGATATACTGGACTTTGAACACTTCTACCAAGGATCATATAACGAAAACATGGTTGGAGACTATATTTGAGGGTAGTTTGTGAAAGCAATCTACAGTATAAGTGTAAATCACAAAAAACTACTAATTTTAAAATTTTTTGTGGTCTCTCTTGTGTAATCATAGAATAAGATAAAAGTTATTTTTGAATCATACAAGGTCTGTCTGAAACGTAATGGGACTGATATCACAAACAATTTATTTCAGTTCCAAACATCAAACTTCATGGTTTTTCCTTCAAAGTAATCCTCCCCCTCTCCCTGAGTAATGCACCCCACTCCTTATCTGTCATGCTTCTATACACAGCTGGAAAGATCCTTGGATGTTCCCTAGCTTGGTCATTACAGCCCTCTTGATAGCTTTAGTGCCTTCAAAATGAGTCCCCTTGATGATCCCCTTGTTTTTTTGGGAAGGGAAAAGTCACACAGAGCAAGATCAGGTAAATAGGGAGGTTGTTCCATTATGGTGAGGTTCATCTCGGCCAGCAGCTGCCTGATGCTCAGGGTATTGTGAGCAGGTGCATTATTGTGGTGAAGCAGCCATGGTCTGTCCTGTCATGACTCTCATCTCTTCTTGTGCACTGAGTGAGGCAAACACCACAGAATCTCTTTGTAAACTTGCTGATTGATCATCTGGCTCTGTGGTAAGAACTCACTGTGAACAATGCCACTCACATCGAAGAACGTGATCAGTCCTGTTACTTTTCAGCCACACCTCATATGTCATTTTGTTCTTACTTTGTGTGAATGAGAATGTTCACATTCATGATTTTTCCCAATGGAAATAGGGAAATTTCAGAAATATCATTATCCTGATCACAAAAGCAAAGTTTGAAAGAAATATTAGCCATTTTTTAGACATTCTAGGTGTAAGTGAATAAATAATAGTTGCTACCCAAGGATAAAAATTGCATTACATAGATTTATTATACTCAAACTTTTTAAGGAAAAGGATCAAGTTTAGAAAGCACTTTAAATTCACTTTATATTTTTATTGCTTACACATTCAGTTATTTCTTTCTGTTTATATGTGTCCGTCTGCAACACTTTTTCAACAACCAAATTCCAGTATCTGTCTATGTTTCTGAGATGAGGTATTATGTACACTGTTTACATTATTCAGACTATTGTCCTCATCTTTGTTGCCATATTTATTACAACGTTTCGGCCTTTCAGTATCTGTCTATATTTCTGAGATGAGGTATTATGTACACTATTTACATTATTCGGACTATTGTCCTCATCTTTGTTGCCATATTTATTACGAGGTTTCGGCCTTTCAGTATCTGTCTATATTTCTGAAATGAGGTATTATGTACACTATTTACATTATTCAGAATATTGTCCTCATCTTTGTCGCCATATTTATTACAGCATTTCAGCCGTTGTATGCTCTGGCCTTCTTCAGGTGGTTGGAATGTCGAACTGAACCCTTTATTTCACTCACTGGGATAGTCTGTTCTAGTTCCACGTGTCATGTCTAATGGATGTCAGTGGATGCATGTGGAACTAGAACAGTCTACCCCAGTGAGCGAAATAAAGGGTTCAGTTCGACATTCCAACCACCTGAAGAAGGTCAGAGCATACAACGGCTGAAACGCTGTAATAAATATGGCGACAAAGATGATGACAACAGTCCGAATAATGTAAATAAAGAATCAAATTCCATCTCTCCCGCTCCAAGTCAAAAATGCATAATAGATTATGGAAAGTGGTTTGAATAAATAATAAAAAAACGAAGTGTCACTTACCTTGATGCCAGTAGAAAAAGTGCGAAAATAAGCAAAAGTGTTTTTATAGACAAAAACTAGTGCATTGTGGGTAAGAAAAAAGGTGGGGGATTATTCATTATTATTATCTCTCATTTCTCCAACCCTGCATAACAACCAGACTATAAATAAGACCCATTTAGTTATTTCAACGTCTTTTTGTTTTCTCATGTTTACAAGTATCTTTTAATACACAAGGGATTTATAATTATTTACCAAAGTTATAACTACCTTAAAAAATGAAGATATTTTCGATGACACTATTTACATTATTCGGACTATTGTCCTCATCTTTGTCACCGTATTTATTATGTTTCGGCCGTTGTACGCTCTGGCCTTCTTCAGGTGGTTGGAATGTAGAACTGAACCCTTTATTTCTCTCATAGGGGTAGACTGTTCTAGTTCCATGGATGTCAGTTATCTCGTGTTAATTGCCTTAACTGGGTATTGAACTCACTCTCTTTGGGTCTTGTCACTGGATCTAACTAATGCTTTTATCCACTGTGCCATGTGTCCTTGAGGTGACAAAGATTAGGACAATAGTCCGAATAATGTAAATAGTGTACATAATACCTCATCTCAGAAATATAGACAGATACTGAAAGGCCGAAACGTTGTAATAAACATGGCTTCAAAGATGAGGACAATAGTCCAAATAATGTAAATAGTGTACATAATACCTCATCTCAGAAATATGGACAGATGCTGAAAGGCCGAAACGTTGTAATAAACATGGCTTCAAAGATGGTATTTATCAATTCACCCACAGGAATTGAATGTGGCACAAGGCCTTTTTAATGTGGGTATGTCTGAGCCCGTAGGCCCAGCCAAAATAAAACCCATCTAAACCCGTCCAAGCGGGCTAGTTCAAAACAACCTCGAACTAAACCCCACCCTTCGGGCGGAGCTTCGTCCGGGTTCCTCTCTGCAAGCAAAGAGTTCGACAGACACCCGACCCGGCAGCTCACAAAGCGCAGATACTACACTTTGATCCTAGCCACCGGGCCCAGCAGGTATTCTTTTTTCAAAGATGAGGACAATAGTTCGAATAATGTAAATAGTGTCCATACCTCATCTCAGAAATATAGACAGATTTTTGATGACATTCCAAACATATTCAGCACTAAGTTGTTGAAGAACTTTTGAGAAGTTTCAAGAATCTTCTGGCAACATAGATGGCAGTATAAATACAAGGAACATCAGCTCAACAGATTAGTTTGCTTCTCGTTGTCCAAGTGCAGACAAGTTGTGATAAATACAAAAGCAAAGTTTGAAAGAATTAGCAACCATTTTTGAGACTTTCTAGGTGTAACCAAATAAGAAATAACAGTTGCTACCCAAGGATAAAAATTGTGTTACACAGTGTAATTAAATTCAATAAACAGTATTCTTTTACAATTACAGATTGCAGTCTATGAATCGAGAATCCAAAATCCAGCAGCTAAATCTACTTGATGACGTACGGCGGAAATTCCTTCATCTTTTGCGTCAGCAACGAGAGATGGAACTCAGGAGATTGAATGACAAAGTTGTTAGTCAGGTTTGTAGATTTTTCGAGTTTTGGCTTCTTGAAGCCTTCCCATGGATGAGGATGGTAGTTTCAACTTTTCTTTTTTTAATTTCACCTCAAGCAAGGTAATAAAGCCACTAAGACACAAATGTGTGTTTTTTGGGTTTTTTTTTTTTTTTACAATGATGTTTACCCTGCACAAGGTCCAAGAGCCACTCAAGGTAGAAGTTTATAGAATAAGAGATACAGTTTATGGGGAACAGCTGACTTTAGAGTTAGTTCCACAAAAGGGTGAGAGAATATGAGAAAAAGAAAACATTATTAAGAACAGAGAACAATAAACAAACAGGAATTATGAAAACAGAAGATAACAATTGGCATTGCATTTAAATTTTTGAAGATCAAAGGCAATAAAGCCACTAAGATGCAAGAGTTTACTGATTGTTAGAGAATATGAGAAAAACTACTATTAAGGAGAGAGAAGATAATGATTGGTATTCCATTTAAATATTTGAAGATCAAAGTTGACTGGAAAACAAGAAATCAGAAGCTGCAAGTGACAAGAGCAAGAGAAGAAACTGTTAGCATAGAACTTACAGTTACATTTAGCACTTTCAACTGTAAAATGATGAGACCTTGCCGACATTCAAGTAGTATGCTTAAATTCATAAAGTCTAGGTACCAAAGAGGAAAGCTCATTGGAACAATTACCATTAAAATATTTATAGAAAACGCACAGGGAAGGTATATTACAGTGATGGGAAAGTGACTGAAGCCGAGATGCCAGGTCAGGACCAATAATTTTACATATTGTATTTTATCAAGAATCTCTAAATACATGACAGAAGCACCAGAGCAGATGTGGCAGCAATATTCAATGAATGGACAAATGGTAGACTTATAAATGTGTTTTGATAGATTTTGGCAAGAGAAATTGTCTAGCACACCACAGTGGTCTGACTTTCCTAGCAGCAGACTTAACTGTTGATTCAATATAATCTTTCAACTTCATGTCAGAGGATAATATTAGCCCAAGAAGATGGAGTGAGTTGTTCTCCTGGAGGTTAGCATCAGCCAGACTGATAGATGGCAAAAAAAGGTTCTCACAGATGAATAAAAAAGAGCAGATTCATTTATTGTTTTGAGAGTATTTTTAAAAATCTTTGTTTATCTTTCTAAATGCAGGAAAAAGACAAAGTTCGAGATATGGATGCTGCTTTGAATGAAGCTGAAATTAAAAACTTTGAACTGGAACTGCAAAAGCGACTTTATGAGCAGGTGAGTCCAAATTTCTTAGTTCCTTACATTTTCTTGCAGTCATATATACATATTTATGGCTGATGCTACCCTTCAGGAGGTTGACTCATTGTTTTTTGTTTTTTTTTTCAGATAAGCAATATGGCTTTTATTTCACTTCTCTATCTGAGAGAATCTTAAGCTTTACATAAATGGTGAAGCTTCAGGCTATATATATATATATATATATATATATATATATATAGATAATATTAGTGGTCAATATATATATATATATATATAGATAATATTAGTGGCCAATATATATATATATATTGATAATATTAGTGGTCAATATATATATATATATATATATATATATATATATATATATATATATATATAAATAAATTCCCAAGAGGATAGAATCCAAGTAGAACTCAATGTCCTGGACAGAGTAAGAATATAATATAAAGGTTCAAACAAAAAAAAAAAAGCTTTTTGAATTTGTAGGTCTGATGGAATATTAGTGTTTGTTTATATATATATATATATATATATATATATATATATATATATATAAAAAAAGAACATGTTAGGTAAATAATCCAAAGTTTCTTTAGTATTTTGGTTTTTATTTTTAAAAAACAGTGCTCAATACAAAAGTAGAGCCTAAATTATATATATATTTATTTTATGTTTATACATTATTTTTATAGGTACAGATATTTATGTAAATGCTCTGTTTGTAATAAACAGTATTAACAACATTTACTGAACTTGAATGTCTAAGAAATCTGATAGAAAATGTGTCCTCTGACAGGAATCAAACCTGTATCCTTCACAGAACCATCATATAGCCTGACATGCTGTACCATTTAGCTAGAGAGGAATCACCTGGTTAGCAAGGTTAAATTACTGTTTTTAAACTACAAATTGTTAAACCCTGCTAACAAGATGGTTTCGAGTAGGATACAGAGTCGATTCCTGTCAGAGGACACGTATTTTCTATGAAATTTTTCGGTTAAATGTTATTAATACTGTTTATTATAAACAGAACATTTACTTAAAGATTTGTATCTATATAAAATAATGTATAAACAGGAAATATATTAAAATAATTGTCATATTTAGTCCATTTCATAATATATATATATATAAATGAAATAAATCCTAAAGAGCCAGGAACAACCTACCCAGGTTTCACCTAAACAGATCTTTAGGGTAAGCTGGCTATACATACATATATATATATATATATATATATATATATATATATATATATATATATGACACAACATTTTACCATTATTAATTTTTTTTTATCTTTTAAATTTTTCTATTTTATTTCATTAGTGTAGAACTCTTAAGCAATGTGGTTTCAAAAAAGATGACCATTAATTTTTCCAATATTAACTCTTGTTAAAATTTTAGGAAATGCTACGGGAATACATTCAGTCATCAAACACCCTGAAGATGGATGAAGAAGTCTGTCGAAACCATGAAGAACTGGAGCACAAGATCATAGACTGCATGACAGACCTTTTGGGTGATAAGAAATGTCAGGTATGTTTGAACAAGATTCTTAAGCTTTAGTTTATGTAAATTAATTATTGAAAAAAGAATTTGTTGATTTATAGAAAATTCTTTTTATCTCCCCTGAACCTTATTTTGATAATTATTTCAGTGGGCAAAATCGGGGCATATGCCTTATGATGGCCATCAATATCTATAATTATAAATAAAATAATAATTAAAGTATAAATAAAATAATAATCTATAAGTATAAATAAAATAATTAAATTATAAATAAAATAATAATCAAATTATAAATAAAATGATAATCTATAATTATAAATAAAATAATAATCAAATTATAAATAAAATAATCTATAATTATAAATAAAATAATAATATATGATAATTTTTATTTATAATAATATATGATAATTTTTTATTTATTTATGTTTTTCACAGACATTAAATTTTGCCTTTGATTTTTGCTCAAAGTGTAAAAAAAATCATTTTTTTCAATTTTTCACCTTCGAGGTTATAATTTTTTCCAGCCAATTTGGACTCAAAACTGGCACTGAAGAATTATCTATCAAACAAAAAACATTTAATTGAAATCTGATGAAAACTGGAAATGCATAAACAACATCCGATCACGCACATACATACACACACACTTTGAGAATTAGAGATATAGATTATGACAGTCAATGGAAGAGGTTCCTTCTTTGCAAGATTGAGAACACACCTCTCACCATTCAAATTGTAAACCCTATTCCCACCACCCTTTTGGGGATGTGCCTCAGTTGCACCCAAATGTTGTTAGTAATATTGATTTTTGGGTGGGATGACTTTAAACTTAAACTACTCTAATTGGACGGCAGAAATTCCCTGTAATGAAAGACCCGGTCGGAGACTGGTTATACTGCTAGTTTTTATTTAAGACTTATTTATTTGCCAATTAATTTAGTTATTTATTTCTTTTTGGCAAATTCATCGAACACTTTGTTGTATAACGTTTCAGCACCAAGCTCTACATTCATCTTTTTGAAAAGAAAAAATCAGCTGACTCTACTGTTTTTTTTTTTTTTTGCTTTTGTTTTTTTTTGTTTACCCCTTTTTTTGTTCTCCTAAGCTTAACACTTTAACCATCTTTCACTCAGTTATTCCACATTCTCTGTGCCTATGAATAGAACTGGCATGGAAGTTATATACTAAAACTACTATTCTACTCTACTAATGTTCCTTGTCCAAAATTTACCCTAAGAAATGAAAGAATGGGAGATTCAACAAAATTAAGCACCTGGCCTGCCCAACAGCCAGACCAATACAAATACAAGAACCTAATTTGGATGATTTTATAAAACAGATGTTTTATCTCTATCTATAAAAGGCAGGATGTGTGTGTGTGTGTGTGTGTGTGTGTGTGTGTGTGTGTGTGTGTAACGAATGCACGGCCGCAATTTTCGATGGATTTGCAGCAAAATTTACATGCACATGCTCCAATTTAGCAGGAAGGCCAAGACTGACTTTGCATTTCCCAACTCCCCATCGATAGTGGAAATAATCGATTTTTTTTCATCATCAGGACGGCAGTTTTCATGTAGTTTGCAGCTATTTTGTACTGGCCAGAGTGAGAGCCAATAGCTGACTGCCACAAATAGGCAGGAAGATTCTATTGGCCAGCGTGAGAGCCAACAGCTGACTGACATGAATGTTAACTAGCATGCTAGCATGCAAAAAAAATCAATAGCTGCATTCGTCACAAGTGGGAAAAATTTAAATCTGCATGGCACTTTACTCCAATTGGCTCATTCACTTGCTTAAACTCAACGTTGATTCTGATTCCGCAGAACTGGGATGGGTGTGAAAAAGTATTTGTTGTTAACATTCTTTTTTTATTCGGTTTTTCCAGTTACGAGTCCTTTTTTTAAAGCTGATTGTTTTGTGTTCATTTTGTTTAGTTCTTTTTTCATAACAGATTCAATGTTTAGTATAGAGCTTAGAAAAAATTTGCAATGTGAGATAGGCAACAAATAAGGCATGTAGCAACATCAGCACAGCAAAGGGCGCTCCTTTAAAGGCAAGGAAGGGCAAAAATATTTTAAGTCAAGTGATAGCGATTGCTGTATGAGTCGTACGATTTTTGAATCAAGCACGGGCAATGCCGGGCCATGCTTCTAGTATTAATTAAAATGTTTTATTTTACCTTGAAAATGAACCATCCGCAATTTAGGACCCTGAGTACAATGGGATCACAAAAGGGTTAAAATGCTTGTTTACTCCTGTGTTGAGAATTAATTGAAGACAGTTTTTCTCAGGGTTACAATCCTCCCCACTACAATCTCCCATTCTCAGCAAATACATCTCCATTTTGAATTGTTATCTTGTAATGTTCTCACTATTAATCTGATACATCTGTCTATATTTCTAAGATGAGGAAATGTATCTAATTACACTATTATCTAGTTACACTATTTACATTGTTTGAACTGTTGTCTTTTCCTCATCTTTATTGCTATATTCACAATGTTTCAGCCATTGTACGCTCTGGCTTTCTTCATGATCTATATATTTTTCTAAGATGAGGTTTTGTATCTAGTTACACTATTTATCAGGTCATCCCATAAGTTCTGTCTGAATTTTGAATAAAGAAAACAAGTGACCAAATGTTACATTTAATTGCAGATTCAATCAACAATGTATTTTCCCTGATTATCTGACTTCCTTCCATCTATTAACAAGCTTACTAATTCCATTACTGTAAAATTCTTTTGGCTTTGATTCGAAGAACTCACAAATGTCAGTTTTAACCTTTTCCTGTGTTACAAAAGCTGTTTCTTCCAAATGATTCTGTAAGCTACGAAACAAATGGTAGTCTGAAGGAGCAAGATCAGGAGAATAAGGTGGATGAGGAATTTTCTCCCAACCAAGTTCTTCGACCTTTTGTGACGTGATCCTTGCTGTGTGAGGTCGTGCATTGTGCTGATGAAACATCACCCCTTTTCGATTCACTAGAGCAGGTCTTTTTTTCCTCAAAGATTGGTTCAAACGCTCTAATTGCTGGCAGTATATTTGAGCATTAATTGTTGCATTAGGTGGTAAGAATTCAAAGTGGATTATTCCTTGGCGATCCCACCAGATTGAAAGAACCTTTTGACCATGAAGTTCCCTTCTCGGCTGTGGCTGAGGTCCTTCCTCTTTACCAAGCCACTGTCTACGATGCTTAACATTTCTATAAAAGATCCATTTTTCATCGTCAGTCACAAGTCTATCCAAAAAAAGTGAAACAAGTTGGCGAGAATGGAGAGAAGAGCAGATGTCAACTTGGGATTTGAGGTTGTTTTCACACAATTCATGAGGCACCCATTTTCCAAGTTTAGGAACTTTTCCAAGTTGTTGAAGATGACGATGAACAGTTGTATGGTTTCAACTGAGAACCACTGCCAATTCCTCAACTGATAGAGCAGGATTTTCTTCAAGGGCTGCTTCAAGAAGCTTTTCATGAAACTCAACTGGATGTCCAGTTCGATCTTCACCTTCAAGGGTGAAATCTCCACCTCTGAATTTTGCAAACCATCTTCAAGTTCTTTCAGTCACACATTCCTCTCCATAAACTGAGTGAATGTTTTTAGCTGCTTCGGCTGCTGAGTTTCCTTTCTTGAACTCATAAAGCATTATGTGCCTCAAATGATTCTTGGGTACTTCCATGTTAGCAGGGTTTTAATCAAACAAAATTTAATTTTATTGTTCTCTGAAATAAAATTTGATCAGTTTAAATGCATCTAAACATAAAAATAATGTTCAGCTCCATTAGACATTATAAAATACTCTTTAAATTTCATTCATTTTAACAAAAAGTTAAAATTCGGACAGAACTTATGGGATGACCTGATACATTGTTCAAACTGTTGTATTTTCCTCATCTTTATTGCTATATTCACAACGTTTCAGCTGTTGTATGCTCCAGCCTTCTTCATGATCTGTCTATATATCTGAGATGAGTTATTGTAACTATTTACCCTATTTACATCATTTGGACTGTTGTCCTTATCTTTGTTGTCATATTCACAATGTTTCTGCTGTTGTAGGCCTCAGCCTTCTTCAGGGTCTGTCTATATTTCAGAGATGAGGTATTGTAATTATTTACACTATTTATATTGTTTGGACTGTTGTCCTCATCTTTATTGCTATGTTCATGACATTTCGGCTGTTGTTCACTCTGCCCTTCTTCAGGTGAATGGAATTTTGAACCAAACCCCTTATCTACCCCAGTGGACAAAATAAAGGTTCAAGTTTGAAATTCCAATCACATGAAGAAGGCTGGAATGTACAACAGCCGAAACATTGGGAATATGGCAACAAAGATGAGGATAACAGTCTGAACAATGTAAATACTGTAAATTATTCTGATACAGTTTGTTATTGTTGAAACAAATTTATTAAACCAATTTCCTTTAATGTGGTTACTTGGATGAAAAGAACATTTCCAGTTTCCCATTATATGCATTAGTATATCACGTATTACTCAAAACATTATTTTTAGTGGATAGATATATTTGAGTTGCTATCAATGTTTTTTTTTTATTTTGTTAAATGAACCAAAATTGAGAAGTCCTACTAAAGAAAAATCATACCTCCAATAGGAATTGAACCTGCATCAGGAAACTAATCTTTGTGTCAAAAATGGGCTTCTATCAGTTCAGCTATGGTGCCAGTCTGACAGGACAAAGTTAGAATTACCTCTGTAAGAAAATAGTTTTTTTTTGGAAGTGGGGGACTTCTATTAATCTATATGTGCTAATTTCAGTTTTGTGTATGTACTAAAAATAACGTTTAAGCAATAATAATGCTGGATAAAAAAATTAGTATATCTATTATTAGTAAAAATTAGTATATCTATTATTAGTAAAATAATAGTATATTATATTAATATATATTAAGACATTGATACAACGGGAGGACCAGGATAGCTGAAATGAATGCTAAATACACATTGTTCTCAAAGAGATTTCATATACTGCTGTGTCATGAAAGAAATGATATACAAATAT